ATTCCGATTTCAAATCATAATATATTATGTGTAAGTTGTAATGTGCAGTTAGTCCTAATAGATTTATTTCCACTTCTTTGCAATTCTTATTAAATTGATTACCTAAAAAATTAGTTTGTCATTATAATAATTAAATAATATTACAGTTAAAAAAATGTATACTTACTTAATTTATTTTGTAGTCATATTTGAATCCAATATGTGAAGCAATATTTTATTTTTCACTGTTACCAAAATATTGGTATTTTTAAATGTAATTGGAAATAGTAGTATGAATATCCACTAGGTAACAGAGAACCATATGGTATACATTTAAACAACAATTGTAGATGTATAAATTGTTAAACTGAACTCAAAATGTTTTAACTTAATGATATATTGTATTATTTATTTAATTGTAGAAACTACTAACTAGTAAAACTTACCAACAAATTGGACATAATATTATTTATATTATGTACCTACTCGCCAAGTATCTAATTGTCTTGTGATTAACCAATTTAGGTACTTTCTTTTATGGTTAAATTATTAAATAAAATACAATATGTGATAGATAAGAAAAAATATATTCAAGAACTTTGTATAATGTATATATTAAACTTGAACTTTATTATAACATAATAAGTGCATTATTAAAATTTAAACACTTAAAAATGATAAGTATTAAAAAGTAAAACTTTATTAACATTAACGACTCGATTGGGGCCAATTCAATAATTATTCAATCTTATAATCACATCGTGCTTATGCCTTATGATCTTATAAGTTTATAACATAACCGTTTATCAGATACTCAACGTATTGCCATGTGCTTCACGATAACCAAGTATTGGGTATACTCACGGACTAAGATAAACAGGACTGGAAACGAGATAGTCATCTATGGAACTACAGTGTAACGCTTCTGGTACAAGTGCGATTTTAACGCCATCTATGATCCATTCTACAAAATATTAATACATCAGTGTCCAGCACGAATTAAGATTTTGGCATTTGAAATTGCTTCATTCCAAGCAATTAAATTAACCACATCTTTAAATAAAGTGTATTTTTTTCCCTCTGAACATCCCGTACAGCCATCCACATAGAATTTTCTCGGCATTTTAGCGAATAATAAATGGATAATATAGTTGGTAAAATGTAATGTACATTAAATACTAAATGCTAATACCTAAGAGCTAATAGGTGCGTATAAATCACGGACTAAGATAGAGTCACAATAGAGTTATCTTAGTTTATCTTAGTCCGTGGTATAAATGTATTAAACTATTGTACCTAATTTTATTATAAACAGAAATAATATGCAAATAAATATATGTGTAACAAATGCTAAATATTATCAATAGATAGAGCCACATTTGTCCATGTACTACAAGCGTTACACTATGGTTCCGGCTACCCGCACTCCTCCCGTCTATAGTTTCCAGTCCTGTTTATCTTAGTCCGTGGGTATACTTCATATCATGTAACCATGAACTATGATATCTGTAATCGTGCACAGAACAATACAAATAACAGCTGATGTGAAAATACGTAAACGTAATACAGCTGTTATTAATGGTCTTATAATGAAAATACGTCATTGTAGTGAGTAGGTCATAGAGTAATATGGAGTAGGTACAACGATTATCATTTATCACCCATATGCCTTGTGGTTAACAATATCGAATTTATTACTTATAGCTTCTGGTCTTTGTAACTGATAAATATTATTTTGACCAGTGCAGCAAACACCTTCAATGCGGTAATCTATATATGCGAACCCTGTTAAATTGGTATTATAAAATACATTTAGGAGCCCAACTTACGTTTACAGTAGGTACTTACTGAATTGATCTGGAAAATGTAATATTTTTTACCCTAGGGCATACAAATTATAATTTTCGCGGTAGGTATAACACATTTACACACAAACACCTCACAAAACACCCCAACTTTGAGGAGTTATATCTCGTCAACGGATTATCGAAAAATGAAAATTTAAATGTGATAATTCTTAAGAAAAAAAGCCTTACTAAATTATGAAATTTTTAGTATGGGTTGCCATTTGAAAATCAAAAGTTGATGGTGGTTTACCTAATAAATATAAGGGTGAAAAATATAAAATAATTATATAATTCAAAAACAGCGTAGATCTAAAATTTTGAAAAAAAAAAAATTTGAAAAAAGTGAATACTTTTTGAGATAATGAGTGTTTTACGCTTAATCAATCACCTGTATAAAAGATACCAAAAACATAATATATAGATATAAATTATAATTATATAATATGGATAATCAAAAATATTTTATTTCTGAAACGTTATTGTCCTGTCAGGGATTTTATGGCGTGTGGCGTGTATAGTAACGCATTTATAAAGTAGGTATAAATAAATTCAGATCGAATTAAAAGACTATGGCCAATTTGACTATTTTATTCCAGTCAAATTAGACAAATAATTAGGCTTTGGCTCGGAAAAATTAGCACCAAGCCAAATTTCGGTTTATATAGGATATTTATTTTGTAAGGTGATTGCAATTCGAATACCGCACGGTAGAACTGCCAGAAAATAACAAAATTATAGTGAATACAATATTATGAGTATTAGTAATGAGTAGGTACTGTTCGTTAGCCAACGTGGTTGTTTTTAATTTTAGTAGAACTGTTGGGGTAGTATAACTGCTTCTATTTTCTTCAAAAGTATCTTGTTCGATGGGAAAGTGAATTTAGTTAGTGCATTCGAGAGGACAAAAATTAAAATTTCCAATAGTTTTCAAAAGCGCAAGGAAAAACGGGAATTTTTACGCCAAAAAGGTTTTTGACAAAATCGACTATAGGTACATCAAATTTTTACTGAATGTTTATATCAGAATTTTCTATACACCATAACATTTTCAAGTTTTATTTTGAGCTGTTTATGGACATTTTCAGTTTCGATTTTTTTTAGTATTTTTTTTTCTATAACTATCAACAAAATTTTATTTGTTTTGTAAAAACTCTTGAAAATTTAATAGAAGGCTCCTAATATATTTTTTCAAAGGAAGATGAAAAATATTAAAAAATCATCGTCACAATTTTTTTTTTTGAGCATTTAAGAGGACGCTACCCGGGCAAACGAAACCGTATATAACGTTCGAGAGAATGCGCTGTTAGGTGTTTTCGCGCGGCGCAGGCACGCGTTTAGCCACGCCATGTACCGTGCGCGATCGGCACATATTCACAATTCTGGCACAACCAGTCCATAGAGTAATATAGAGGCGGCGTTACCTATCACGTTTGAAGTCAAACTGTCGGTCATTGCCCCAGAAAATAGGAGTCTAACACCGATAATATTTTCCGTTAGATCGCGCTGTACTTCAATAAATATTGATATCTATTCGATATTTCGATGATAAGTTTTTGGTAATCATTTTGATTTTTGGCGCAACTTTGAACTTTATTCAGTGTATATAGTGTATACCTTTGCAATTCTTTTACATATTATTCATTATTCATACTTAGAAATTCTGAAAAAATGCCTAGTTGTTTTGTGTGTAAGCGGTCTAGAAATTCTACTTCGAAATTGCAAGATATTACGTTTCACACTTAACACGACCGCCAGAATTCTATGTTTGTTTATTAATATTATCGATAAGAAATATAAATAGCTGTCGCCAAATGTCTGTACCCGTATGCAATCGCCAACGTGCATACTGCGTACGTAATGAACGTCATGTACTATATAGCTATTAGATATAAATATAACGGACAAAAGCGAGAGGCGGCCGTAGTGTTGCGGATTAATCAATCCTAATGAACTTAGAAGAAAATATAGAAAATATTATAATATTATAAAATATTAAATTAATACAATCAAACATTTTTTTATAAACATATTAAATTATTTTAATATTTTTTATATTTTTGATGATATTTGGTCACAGTTAGAAATTATAAACAATGAAATACAGCCTCAAATTCACCGTTCAAAAAGGCAAAGATTTAATCAAGTTTCTGGAGATACAAAAACTAATTACAGACGACTATTTTTTGAAATAATTGACGTTATAATTAATAAGACAAAAGAACGGTTTTCAAATCTTAATCAATTACAATTTTTCGCATTATTAGACTTTAAAAAATTTAGTCTATATGCTAATGATTTTCCTATAAACTTATTCAATTCGTTGAAACAATTATACTGTAAATATTTTGATTTAGCCAAATTGAGAAGTGAACTTTCAGTTGTCTACTCGACCGAAGAATTTCAAAAACCTAATGTTCACGATCTTTTAATTTATTTAAAAACCACAAATTTAGACGAAAACTTACCACAAGCAACAAAATTGATTTCATTGATACTAACTATTCCAGCTACTAGTGCATCAGCAGAACGTTCATTCTCGGCCCTTAAAAGGATTAAGAATTCAACAAGAAATTCCCAAGAACAAAATCGTCTTTCATCATTATCAATGCTGTCAATAGAAAAAAAATTATTGGTAGAGTTGAAAAAAAAATCTACGTTTCATGATGAAGTAATCAAAGCTTTCCTTACTAAAAATAGAAGAATTGATTTAATATATAAGTAATTTTGTAGTTCATAATTTTATTATTTTTAAAAAGTGATTTATTTTTTGTTTCTTAAATATAATATTGTGCTATATTATAAGGTAATCAAAGCACCGGCGTCCTAACACGGATATGTAATAGCGGAGCCATGGTATAAATAATAGGTTATTACTGTAATGTTCATGTGTGTATATATAGATAGGAGAGTCTAATTATAACTTTGATTACACCGTTATTATTGGAAAAATCCCAATATTATGAATTTAAAATAAAAATAGTTAGGTCGCCGGCGGTCATCTGGCGTGATAATTATGTCGTATTACTATGACGCCGGATTGGTCGCCGGCTACCATAATAAATGTATAGATAATTTCTTGTTTATATTTGTCATTAATCGTTTATCAATCACGGCACGTGCTTGTCCTTGTTCGTTCTCAATATTACGTTTCGAGTGCTCTATTATTGTATTATAATGGATCAAAAGCAGATCGAAGATGCACTTGGTGATTCAGATTTTTCATTTTCGGATGAAAGTGCTGATGACAGCGATGGCGATCCTCTTTTTCAACTATCGGAAAGTGGTGATGAATCCAGTGGTGATGAATCCCTTCCAGTACAACTTAATGTTGATAATGATAATATATCATCAAACTGGTATCCTGTTACAGGTAATTACCAAAAATATTTTATTTTTGAAAACGATTGCCCGTTACCTATAGAAATGTTAGCTAATAAAGAGCCATATGACTATTTTAAATTATTTCTTACTGACGATATACTAAACTGTATGGTCTTGGAAACCAATAGAAATGCTGAACAATATCTAAAAAGTATTAGACTGTCACGTAGTAGTAGATTCCATTCATGGGATCCATAGTATTAGAGGATATGACGAAATTTATTGGATTATTACTTTGGATGGGTGTAGTAAAATATCCGAACATTGCTGATTACTGAAGTAAAGCGGAAAGATATAGAAATAGTGTAGCTCCAAAAATTATGAGCAGAAACAAATTTGAACTAATATTACGTTTCTGGCATTTTTCCGATAACGAAACAAGTGATAAGTCCGATCGTTTGTACAAAATAAGGAATATTCTTGATAAAATTAATTTCAATTTCGAACATTTACTTACACCGGGAGAAATCATTGCAGTAGATGAGTCTATGATCCCTTTCAAAGGGAGATTAAAATTCCGACAATACATTCCAAGCAAACGACACAAGTACGGAGTTAAACTATTCAAAATATGTGATGTTAACGGTTTTACATACAAAATAATTATTTACGAAGGAAAACAGTGTATTTCTGGTCAATCGTTAGGTGAAACAATCGTACTGTCTTTATGCGAAAAATATTTAGAAAAAGGTAGAACAGTTGTCACAGATAACTTTTATACATCTGTTCCACTCGCTAAACAACTTTTAAAGAAAAAAACACATTTAGTAGGGACACTTAGGAAAAATCGCCGTTATTTACCTAAAGAACTTATCACAAAAAAAATTAAAAAAGGAGAAATTTTTGGGAAAGAAGACGATAACGGTATTGTATTGTCAAAATTTAAAGATAAAAGAGATATATTTTTATTATCTACACGTCATAAATTAGATATTATAGACACGGGAAAACAATCCAGAAAAAAAGAAAGCATTTTGAAGCCTGATGTTATTTTATTTTACAATGCAGGAAAAGCTGGTATTGATTTTTTTACTTAATACTAGTGTTATTAATGCTCAAATCATGTATAACATGAATCATTATGATTCAAAAATGAATGTAAAACAATTTCGAGAGTCGTTAATTGATAAAATGCTCAACCTAAGACCTACCAGCCGAAAATTAGCTCAACAAATGGCAGTGCCTAACACACCAAAATCAACAGAAAATCAAAGATCAGCAGCACCTAAACATAAAATAGAGGAAACTGAAGAGAAGTGTCCAAGAAATAGAAAACTAAGAAAACGTTGCTCAGAGTGTTATAAGAAAATATCACAAGAAAAAGGATTTAGGTAATGAGATTATTTGTTGCATCTTTTAATTTTATCATCTTTATAAAATAATTAAAAACTAATAAAAATATATATTTATGTTTAGGGAAGCATTAAATAAAACAAAAAAAGTCACTACGTTTTGCAGTACATGTCCATCACAGCCATTCATTTGTCTATCGTGTTTTTCTGATCATATTATATGATTAAATGTAATAATTTATGTACAATTAAGAATATTTTTTAAATACGATTAAAATAAAGGAATCAATTAGTTTTTTTTTTTTTTAATTATTCGTTTTTTTTCTCGTGTACGCCATAGTGTTATTATTAAGTCATTATTTCCACGCCATCGAAAAATATAATATATTAAATACAATTAGAGGTTTGACCCGCCGGCGACCCAAGCGGCCCCTGAAGCATAATTCGGTTTAGGTCGCCGGCAACCTAAATGGCTCCACTTTAACGTATCCATGTTAGGTCGCCGGCGGGCTCATGGCAGTCAACGTGTTAAAAATTACGTAAAACTTTGTATGTTTCAAGTTTTATTTTAAGATAAGTGTAGGGGGTGTGGGGGACTATGCCCCCCACGATTTTATTAACTTACAACTTCAATGCATACACTAAGCTGAAACGCACGCTACGCCTCTGTTCAGGATCTATTATTAAGCCAGACATCTGCACAGTTTCCCCAATAATTTCCTCTGCTTTTTTACGAGTAACGATTTCTGTCACCCGTCCATACTGCAAAGATTTTGCGTGAGGTGCAGGAGCATACAACATAGAGTATACCGTATTTTTGCAACTTGTGGTTTTCCTCATTTTGCAAATTTGGCCAAAATTTGATGCTGTCAAACGTAATTTCCGCTCTTGACACTCATTTTGATCTCTTGTAGATATTTCTATTTCAATCATATTAGTTTTTTTTAATATATCTAAAAACTTTTTTTTTCCTCCAAATCATTTCTTGACAAAACGTCTAATAAAGGCTCCGCCATACCTACATTTTTTTACAATTTCATAAAATATAATATTTTATTTTAAAAATACGAATAATAGGTTTCTATTCATAATAATAATAGTCATTACTCATTACTAATAACAAATATTATAATATTTATTAAATTAAACATTATATAAATAGGTATAAAGGTATTACGTGAAATCTTGTTTTAAATTTTCAATTCTTAGATATAAAAGTTGAACATTTTATACATTTTTAACTACAAAATAATAATTCAATTTTAAATTTGATAAATTTTGTCAAAATTCGATCTTTAAATTTTTATAAAAAAAAATTATGCCTATGTATTTTTAATATTTTTCAACTGCTTTTGTAACAATATATCAGGAGCCTTGTGTTAAATTTTTACACTTTTTTACCCAACAGATAAAACTTTATTGATATTCATAGAAAAAAAAAACTAAAAAAAATAGAAACTGAAAATGTTCGTAAACAGCTCAAAATAAGTCAAAATATTTGGAAAATGTTATGGTGTATAGAAAATGCTAATATAAACATCCAGTCAAAATTGCATGTAGGTACCTACGGTAATTTGTTTAAGAGTTACACCAAAAACCAAAATCGATTTATTCGAAAACAGATTTTGTGTAAAAATTCCCGTTTTTCCTTAATTTTTCTTTTGTTTTTCACGGCGCTATTGAAAACTACTAAGAAATTTTTACTTTTGACCCCCCAAAGTACCAACTAGATTCACTTTCCTATCAGGAAAGATACTGTTGAATAAAATCTAAGCATTTTTACTGTCCTACAACGTGATGACAGACACAAAAATAAAAAATAAAACACACATAAGTAGTAGTATATTATTACATTTTATCGATATTGCCATTGGTACTTACGTTGAATCATTTACTTTTCTTACTAAGTTTTTCATTCTCTGAATCAATTTTCTCTTGCAAGTCGGAGTGTTTTGAACACGGGTTTTTCTTGGTGCCATATTTATAATAATGTAGTTGTAGGTAGATACAAAAAATAAAATTCGACCACTGATCATAATATACTAAAATCAAATTCAAATATGAACTAGGTGCAACTACTAAATAACACTTTAACAGTTAGGAACTAAAATACAACTAACGTTTTAATTTCAGCTCGCGGATATTGTCCTAATACAATAATAATAGTAGAGGTAATAATATTATATATTTTAGTATACTTTGTTTGTTATTAGAATTTAAACATTAATCAGTACACGTCCGCACCATGCGGGCCCTCACGAGACGTATTTAGATGTCGCGCGAACTGCGCTCGGATTAGTTTCATAGGAGGGGATTTGAGCATTTGATATTTATTAATTCATAATAAACCTTTATTATTTTATAATATTTAACAAATAAGTGTTTTGGGCGAATGAATACAATCGCGTGGATAATTGAAGTAAAATCTCTAAGTATTTACAGTAAATAGAAAAAACTTTATATATGCTTAAGCGTTTTGATTTTGTCGATAACACATTTCGTTCTTTTTTTATGGGTAGGTAAAAAACTCAATACTTTCTTAAGTACTTACTTTACTTAA